CATCCATATGGGATCTTGGCATATTCAAGGCGAGGACTTCAGCTGCTAGGTTACTGCGCCAAGCCCAGGGTTTCTTTTTATTTTTTTTAATTTATTTTATTCAGGCCCTGCACAGTAGCCTAGTGGCTAACGTCTTTACCTTGCATGGGCTGGGATCCCATATGGATACTGGTTCATATCCTGGCCACTCCACTTCCCATCTACCTCCCTGCTTGAGGCCTGGGAAAACAGTAGAGGATAGCTCAAAGCTGTGGGACCCTGCACTCACGTGGGTGACCTGCAAGAGGCTCCAGGCTCCTGGTCAGACCAGCTCAGCTTTGGCTGTTGGAGCTACTTGGGGAGTGAACCAGCAGATGGAAGATCTTTCTGTCTCCTTCTCTCTCTGTAAATTTGACTTTCCAATAAAAAAAAAGAATAAATCTTTAAAAAAAATATTTATTGTATTCATTTGAAAGGCAAAGTTACAGAGAAAGAGACCTTCCATCTACCACTTTACTCCCCAAGTGGCCACAGCAGCAAGCTAAGGCCACAGTGAAGCCAGGAGCCAAAGGCTTCTTCTGGGTCTCTAACGTGGGTTCAGGGGCCCAAGGATGTGGGCCATTTTCCACTGCTTACCCAGGCACATTAGTGGGAGCTGGATCAGAAGTGGAAAAGCCAGGACTAGAAGCAACATCCTTAGGGAATGCTGGCATTGCAGGTGGCAGCTTTACCCACTATACCACAATGCCAGCCCTAAATTTGTTTTGTTTAAAAGGCAGAGCAATGGACAGAGATCTTCCATCTTCTGTTCATTTTCCAAATGCCCCAAGGACCCTGGGATAGGGCAGATTGAAGCCAGGGGCCAACTGGGCTTTTCATGGAGATGGCAGTTATCGAGGTATTTGAGCCATCATCTGCTAGTTTCCAGGGTGCACATTAGAAAGTTGGATCAGAATCAGGGAGAGACTTAAGCCCAGGTACTTCAATATGGTATGTGGTCATCCCAAGAAGCGTTTTAAGTTACTGTGCCACAATACAATGGGTGATGAAAATGTTCTAACATTGCCTGTGTGATAGTTGCATATGTCTATGAATAGATTGAATAGTGCTGAATTGTAGAGTGTAAGTAGGTTAATTGCATATGAATTATATTCTAACAAATCTGTTTAAAAAGTAAAAAGTGGGGCCCAGTGTGATGGCCAAGTGGCTAAATTTGCGCCTTGCATATGCCTGGATTCCATATGCTTGCCGGTTCATGTCCCAGCTGCTCCACTTCCCATTCAGCTCTCTGCCTGCTGCCTGGTAAAACAGCAGAGGACAGCTCAAATTCTTGGGATGCTGTACCGGCCTGGGAGACCTAGGAGAAGCCCCTGGCTCCTGGTTTCAGATCAGCTCAGCACCAGCCATTGCAGCCACTTAGGTAGTGAACCAGTGGACAGAAATCTTTCTTGGTATCTCCTCCTCTCTATATATCTGGCTGTCCAATAAAAATAAATAAATCCTTTAAAGAAACGTAAAAAGTGCTATTGGTCATCCAGTATGTGAGCGTAGACCTTCAAAGAAAAGGCTGGGTTAAAAATAAAGACATAAGAATTATGATTCCTTATGAAGGACTACACTATTGTAACAAAATGGGAAAAATCTGATGGGGGTGGGAGTTTGAGGGGGGAATCCCAGCCTATACAAAATCATACCATATCATTCAAAATTCAAAATAAAAATATATTAAAAAAAATAAAGAGATAGGAGCCATCAACACGTGGATGGTAGTTCAAACTGTGAGAATGGATGTGATCACTTTGAAAGAGCATATGTGATGAGGGGGAAGAAGTGGCCATTGGGCCTGCTAGTTAAGATGACCAGTCCCATGTCAGAATACTGGCTTTGACATTTAGCTTCAGCACCTGACTCCAACAACTCTGAGAGGCAGCAGTGATGACCAAGTGATTAGTTTTCACACCTGTGTGTTGACTTCCTGGAAGTTAACTGGTGGATGTGAACTCTGTCTCTCAAAATGGAAAAAGGAGGAGCAGCAAGGGAGGAGTGGGGAGGGAAAGAAGAGAAGCTACTGAAATAAATGACTAGAGACATATAAATAGAAGCACTGAGTACAGCATCACAGCAATCAGTGGGATTGAATATCCTGAAGGGACAATGATCATCACGACCTCAAATTTAATAGGAAAGTCCAATTAAGAAAGGGAAAATTTAATGGTAATTGCAATTTTTTTTTTTGTAATAGCAATGATATCCACAAACCATGGATACAAACACTAAAAAAGTGGTGTGTGGGTGGGGGCTTTAACCCTAAAGCTCCATTAAAGTTGTTGAAGTCTTAACCTCCGTGCTTCCAAATTCATTGGTCAACTTTCTGTCATCTTAAGCAGGAGCGACACTGTTGAGTATCTTTCTTCAGACCTTTAAAAAAGCTGCAGTGTAAGATGCTTGCTGCCTTGGTTGGATGTTCCTCTTTTTACATTTTGCTGCCGATTCCCCCCTCTAATGTCTAATAACTGAGATGCCTCGGGACCACAGGTGTCTGTCTTTAGTGTGCTTGTCTTCCACACTAAGTGAGCTGTCCCCACCCCATGGCTATCTATACTATTTGTAACTTATTAATTCCTCAATTTTTAAAAAGATTTATTTACTAAAAAGGCATTTACAGAGAGAGAAGGACAGGCAAAAAGAGCTCTCCAAATGGTGCTCTCCGGTGACTGATTCTCTAAATGGCTGCAAAGGTCAAGGCTGAACAAGACAGAAGCCAGGAGGCTGGGCCTCCAACCAGGTCTCCCCACACAGGTGCAGGACGCCAAGCACTTGGGCCCCTCCTCCACTGCCTTCCCAGGCACAGCTTCCCAGGGAGCTGGATCAGAAGTGAAACAGCCGGAACTGAAACTCGATCGTACCTGGGAGGCTGAAATGTTGACCTTTGGAGTCCAAAACTTTAACACCTTACCCCCTTCTGTGAGCTCCAGATGCACATTTCCCATTGTTTATTTGCCCAGTAGATTTGAAAACACAGTAGACATCTTCACTTTCACTTGTCTAAAATAGAACTGTGGGGTGGGTATTTGGCCTAAGGTCAGGCCTGGTTTAAGTCCCAGCACCGCTCTAAATTCCAGCTTCCTGCTAATGCACACCTTGGAGACAGCAGAAGCTGGCACCAGCTGCTTAGGCCCTAGCCACCCCAGGCTGGAGACCTGGATAGAGTTCCTGACTACAGGCCTTTGGGGAATGAACCAGCAGATGGAAATGCCCGCCTGCGTGTTCCTTGACAAATAAATTAGAGCCAACTGTTCCTCCCAAATGCCCTCTTATGGACTCTATCTCAAAAGTGGCATTACTATTTATCCAGTTATTCAAGTTAAAAAAATGACGCTTTTACACCTCATATTCAATCTATTTCCAAGTCACCCCATGCCATTTTCAAAGTACATCCTGAGTCTAGCCACTTCCTGCCGTTTCTGTGCAATACTAGTCTTGCAGATCTGTAATCGCTTCCTAACTGCTCCTTTGGCCTTATTTTGCTTTTCAGTAGGCAGTTCTCAACCAGGCTGAGCCTCTTCATGTATAAATCACATCATGCTACTCTTTTACTCGGAGCCCTCAGGTCTTGGTTTGTCAGCACCCTAGGATAAAATCCCAAGTGTGTAAGTGACCTGGCTCCCATGCTGTTTCCCCTGCCCTTTTCCATGCTGGCTGCCTTCAGGGTCATTACCTTGCTAGTCCCTGTGCCCGGACTGTTCTTTCCCAATTGGCTATGGCTCACTCATGTTGTATCTCTACTCAGATATCATCTCAGTAAAGGGGCCTTTCCTAAAACTCTTCTGTAAAGCAGCACACTCACCTTGGTACCCACTTTTCTCTGCTATATTCTCCTTTCGGGTTTTTTTTTTCTTCTAACTTTATAGTCTCTGTGTCTTTCCTCCCCCTAACTTACAACTCCTGCATTGTTAAGTTGTATTCACTGCTTTCTGTTTTCATGTACAGAACTCTTAATAGGATTGCCCGTCTCTTACTACACTCTCAGTCCCTGCAATAATAAATTCCATGATTGCAAGTGTCTGTCTTGGTTTTTTATTCACTGCTGCAGACCCAGCATCTACAACATGGGCTCGTCATGTGACAGGAATTCAACACACAGAGCTGTTGACACAATTAATGTGTAATGTGTAAGATGGTAGGGCATTAAGTAACCAGTTTGTGCTCTAGCTTGTTTGTAGATGTTGAGGTTACAAAGATAAAAAAGACAAGGTCCTTGCCCTTAAGAGTGCATATCTAGGGCCCAGTGTGGTGGCCTAGTGGCTAAAGTCCTCGCTCTGCACATGCTGAGATCCCATATGGGCACCAGTTCATGTCCCAGTTGTTCTGCTTACCTTCCAACTCCCTGCTTGTGGCCTGGGAAAGCAGTCAAGGATGGCCCAAAGCCTTGAGACCCTGCACTCACATGGGAGACCCAGAAGAGCTTCTGGCTCCTGGCTTCGGATCTGCACAATTCTAGCTGTTGTGGTTACTTAGGGAAGTAACTGGATGGAAGATCTTCCTTTCTGTCTCTCCTCCTCTCTACATATCTGACTTTGCAATAAAAATAAATCTTTAAAAAAAAAAAGAGTACATACCTAGATAACAAACCCAATTATGGCTTAAATATTACGGGTTTAAAAAATGGTATGAAAGGGTCAGGAGAGGTAGCCCAGTGGCTAAAGTCCTCCTCTCGCATGTGCTAGGATCCCATATGGGCACTGGTTCAAATCCCGGCAGCCCCGCTTCCCATCTAGCTCTCTGCTTGTGGCCTGGGAAAGCAATAGAGGGTGGCCCGAGGCCTTGGGGCCCTGCACCCAAATAGGGGAGTGGCCCAGAAAAAGCTCCTGGCTCCTTGCTTTGAAGCAGCTCAGCTCCGGCTGTTGCGGTCATTTAGGGAGTGAATCAGTGGAAGGAAGATCTTCCTCTGTGTCTCCTCTCTGAATATCTGACTTTCCAATAAAAGTAAAATAAATATTAAAATGGTATGAAAAGCAGAATAAGAACAGAGAATGATATGTGTGATTTTACTTTGGTTGGAGTAGTCAAGAGCTCTCCTCAGGAAGCAGCATCCGAGTCAAGACATGATTATGGGGAGAGATCAAACTAATAAAAATGGAGCAGATGGACATTTCAAGAAAAAGGAGCAAACCATAGGGGCTGAAACATATTTTGGTTGGAATGAGAGTGAGAAGGTCAGAAAGAGTGGAGGAAAAGCTAGGGAGTTAAAATCAGGAAAAAAAGGTGCCAGGTTAGGTAGAGCCTCCCATGGAAGCTACTATCATTTTATTATTTTCATATGATGGGAAGCAACCGGAGGTTCTGAGTAAGGGAATAAAATGACCTTACATTTTAGCAAGACACCTCAGCTGCGCTCTGTTGCATGGTAGCAGAGTAGGTGGGTTAGGATGGTTGTGGTAGCGGTGGTCAGGGCTCTGACCTTCTAATAACTAGTCCCGCGGCCTGGCAGCAGGGAATACTGCGGGGCACCCTTGCTCCAGATGTCAGAGCCCCGCACGCAGTGCACCAAAGCCACCCACCCTGCATCACCGGGGGACCCTCGCTCTTCGGAAAGATGAGCTGCACCGCAAGTTTCCCAGTGCCTCTTTAAATACGGCTACCTGGAGCCTGTCAGAGGAAAGCGGGGCTCAGTAGCACAGAAACCATATAAGGAAGTAAACTCTTGAAGAAATCGGGCGAGAATTGTTAGTTTCCAGGGCTCAGAACCGGCGAGAATGGAAGCCACCCAGCAAATTCCCTGCCAGTCTCTTGGGAAAGAAGTTGACGTCCTCGTGAGGCTCTGGGAAGCCCCTAACACGACTTTGTTTGGGGTATCACGCTGGGAAAACAAAACTTTGGCCCCTCAGCAATGCGCACGCGCCCCTCGCCGTGTTTTCCGTTGGCCGTAGGCCCCGCCCCTCCTGCGTCCTTCGAGGAGGGTTGGGAGCCGCGAGCTCGGGCGACCACTCTTCCCTCAGTCTTCTGGAGCACGGCGTCGCAAACGGGGCCGGAAAGCGTGGCAGCGCAGGCGCAAGCGCAGAGAGCGGAGGCGGCGGTGGTGGCTGCCGCTGGCCAGCGTAAGATGGCGGCGGCGTTGGTGGCGGCAGTGGACGGGGCGGCTGGGCCTGGAACAGTCGGAGCAGCCGCTGGCAGAAGGATGACCCGAGACGGGAAGGGGGCCGCTGAGCCTGGCCGGTTCCCGTGCTTGTAATTGCCCCAGCCGGGTACCCCCCTCCCCCCCCGACCGAGACCCGGTCTGTGTCTTGTTCCGGCTCGGCCTGCCCCCCTCTCCTTGGCCGATTCCCCCCCGCCCCATTAGGATGGGTCTGACCGCTTTCGCAAGCTGCTAGGGCTCAGGTCTTTCTCCTTCCTCGGCCCGAATCACCGCCGGGACGACTGGTTGTCGTTTGCTCCGGTCAGCCTCGGGGTCGTCCCCAGGAGGCAGCCCCACAGTAAACAGGGGCGTCTTGCTCGGTCGGGTTGACCCGTTAGTGTGTCCCCAGGTGTCCCCCTCGGCTCCCCTGGCGTGTCCCTGTCCCCCCGGGGCCGCCGCGCACCGTGTCCCCCTCCCCCAGCCCCCGTTCTCCGGTGCAGCACCTTGTACGGAAGGCCGAGGTCCAGGAGGCTGGGGAGTCCGAGGCTGCCGTCCGGTCTTCGGGATTCTTCTCGCTTACTCCCTCCTGCACCCCCGCAGATCTTCGGGGACACCTTAGGACGGTCCCGTCTGGTCCCCGGTTGGTTGGGAAGCATGTGGTGGCTTTGGCTTTCCGACTCTTGGGATTGTTGCTGGAGTCTGTGTAAACAAACCGGCGCTCGCGCTATCGCATTCTCTGCGGGACTTCCCACCCCCACCCCCGCTCCGTGGCTTCTTGCTGAGAGGTTGTTTGATTACGGTTTAGTGTTGAAAAGATGTTCACGGTTTTAGGTGACTGTTGTTCTTAGTGGAGTTAGGAGATAAACGGCCTGGCTGCTTAATCCTTGGGTGGGTTGGTTGGTTGGTTTTATTTCCGTGTCTGTGTGTGTGTGTGTTGGGGAGTGGGTTATTTGTTGATTAGTCAGACAAGTTGGTTTTAGATAGTTCCTTAGGCGGTCTAGGAAAAAAAAAAAATACTGAAATGCGTTTGTAAGTCTGTTGATGATGTGTAGTACGAGAGACACCTTTTCCGTGTAAGCTTAACTGTTCTCGGTCCTTCAGTGAGTCTCCAGACCTGTTTTCTCAGCTCAGCCCGGCCTCACTGCAGTGGTAGAGGAGGAAAGGTGAGTGGGAGTCGGAGAAGACACCCCAGCCCCCAGGCTTAAGTGCTGACCACCGAAGTCATAAAACTGCTTCTGCAGTTGCCAAAGAGGCTGAGTGTTGTTGACTGGGTTCCGGTGCTGCTGAAATGACTTTTTATAAGTTTGGTTGGCTGTGGGCATCTTGACTTTTCTTTTCTGAATTATTGCTGTATATCTTCAAATGACTTGAGTTAGACCTGGACGTCCGGGCAAGTCCCCACGCATGGCCTTCGTGTGGCTCATGATGCTTATGTTGTTAAACCCCGAGAGTTAGTTTGCCTGAGCAAACCTCAGCCTCCCCGTAACGCGGGTCCCTTCCTTTTCAGGGCTTTGGGTTTTCGGCCCTTACCATTTAGAGGAGAGCATTGAGCCACTCATCATGCAGAGCTGAGGAGTGCTGAGCGATGCTGCCCCTGGTTGCTGTCTGCAGCCCATCCAGCCTAGAATCTCAGCTTTTCGGGAGGTAGTGGCAAAGCCTGGGGGCAGCGGTGAGGGAGCCCTTGCTGTGCCTGGGCTGAGGACTTGACGGGTCGCAGAGTGTGCTGTGCGTTCAGCGGGACGGCTGAGGCCAGAACATGTTTGTTAGGTGTGATTTTTTTTTAATTTTCACTTTTTATTTCTAACTTTTTTTTTTAATAGAAGGTATTTATTTATAAGACAAAATAACAGCAAGCTCAATCTTTCATGTGCTGCTGGTTCACTTCCCAAATGTGTGCCACAGCCAGGGCTGGGCCAGGCCAAAGCCAGGCACCTGTAACTTCACCTGGGTCTCCTGGCAGAAGCACTTAGGGTCTCAGCTGCTGCCTGTCAGCTTCATTAACTCATCCAAAACAAAGAGTCAGGCTTGGAACCAGGCACTGTGAAGTGGGTTATGGGGGTCCCAGGTAGGAGCTTAACTTTCCTAACAGTGTCTGTCCCTAAGTAGGGGTGGGGTGGTGTGTGTGTGTGTGTTTGAAGTCTGTTTTGATTACTGGTAGCAGAGAATGGTGGTATGCACAGAAGAGTAACATTTACTGCTTGTTAATGTCTTTGATTTATAGTAGAACTAGCTGACAGTGACACTGGTGAGAGTTAATTGTAATGGTATTCACACTCAAAATTGCTAATTATGGACTAAAATTATTAGCGATGTTGTATAGATATCAGTAAATAAAAATGCAATTTTTAAAATTTTTAGAGATGGACTCAGTTTAAATAACTACTAAGACTTATTAGCCATGTGATCTTGCACAAGTTACACTTTTCTGATTCTTAATTCCCATAACTTTTTAAAAGGTTATGTTGATTTGTTTATTTGAAAGGCAGAGTGACAGAGAAGAAGAGACAGAAAAGAATGAGAGAGATCTTCCACCTGCTGGTTCACTTCATCTGCTAGTTGGTTACAATCTGGGGTTTGAGCGGGGCCTGGCTGAAGCTAACGCCAGAAGCTTCCTCCTGGTTCCCGTGGGGGTGGGGCCAGGTGCTGAGGCTGCCTTCCACTGCCTTCCCTCGTGTGTTAGTAGAGATTTGGATCCAAAGCAGAGTCAACTGGGATTCAAACCTGTAGGTCGATATGGGCTACAAGTGTCACAAACCATAGCTAAAGCCTCTCCACACCTGTAAGGGTGGGATAATAACCCTTTCCTTGCATCAGGGAACTCCTGTAAAGCTCTTAGATGATGCCACGTGCTTGCAGCCATGTAAAGCACACCTGCCGTTCTCCTTGCACTTCATAGAAGTTAGAGTTGTACATTGGCTTACACGTCTTTGCGTTTTGATTTAGGACACATTTTCCTGGCTAGTTTCTCAACTTCATTTTTCATTGGTCAGCTTTAATGTGTGTTTTTGTTTGTTTGTTTGATTGATTTTTTTTTTTCTTTTTTTGGTAGGATTTACTTATTTGAAAGAGTTACAACAGAGGAGAGTTAGAGGATTTTTCCAGTTTCTGACTGGTTCATTCCCTATTAAATGGTTGCAACAGCTGGGTCTGGGCCAGTCCAAAGCCAGGAGCCTGGAGCTTCATGTGGGTTTTGGGGCCCGAAGACTGGGCTATCTTTCACTTCTTTCCCAGGCACAATAGCAAGGAGGTGGATCAGCAGTAGAGTAGCTGGGACTTGAACCAGTATCCATAAGAGATCCTCTTTGCCTCAAACAGAGGCTTAACATACGGTGCCACAGCACTACTCCTAATTGGTACTTTATAAGCACTCATCAGGGGTTGTCTTTTAAGATTTATTTTTATTGGAAAGGCAGACATAGAGAGGAGAGACAGAGAGGAAGATCTACCCTCTGATGAATTACTTCCCAAGCGGCCGCAACAGCCAAAGCTGAGCCAATCCAAAGCCAGGAGCCTCCTCCGGGTCTCTCAGGCGGGTACAGGGTCCTGTCTTCCAAGATGCCTGTCTCCATAGTGAGCCTCACCAAGAGACTGTGGTAAACATTTATTTGACAGTTACAGAGGGAGAAAGATCTTCCCATATGCTGATTCACTCCTCCGGGTGGCTGCCCTGGCAGGGCTGGGCCAGGCTGTAGCCAGGAGCTTCCAAATCTCCCATGTAGGTGGTGAGGCCTGAGCACTTGGCCAGTCTTCTGCAGCTGTGACATGCACTGCTTCCCATATTAACCTGTTATTCCACAGTACTGGCCTCTTTATTTCCAAAGTGAATCAGGAGTAGGCAGTTAGGAAGCTAGAAGTTTGTTTTGTTTTCCATTTCTACACTTAGTCTTATCTAAACAGTGTGACAGTACAGATAAAGAAATTTAAACTTTGTTGAATTTTCTTTCACTTTTTCTTTAAAGATTTATTTTTTATTGGAAATTGGATTTACAGAGAGGAGATACAGAGAAAAAAATCTTCCATCCACTGGTTCACTACCCAAATGTTCACATCGGCTGAAGCTAAACCAATCCAAAGCCAGGAGCCAGGAACCTGGAGCTTCTTTTGGGTCTCCCACTTGGTTGCAGGGTCTCAAGACTTTGGGCCATCCTCCACTGCTTTCCCATGCCACAAGCAGGGGGCTGAAAAGCAAGTGGAACAGCCAGGGTTAGAACCGGCGTCCTATGGGATTGTTCAGGGTGAGAACTTTAGCCACTGCCCTAAATTCTGTGGTAGAATTCTGTAGTAGTTTTCAGTACCTAAGAATTGTATGTGGAAGTATTTTCTAGGATGGCAGGACTGGGAAGCTAAGTATACTGATGACATCTTTGTATCGCCTCCAATCTGGCATAACATTTTATAATATAATTATCAAATATAAGACTCAGGTTCAGTGCCTTCCATATCCCATAGTGTTGACTAGGACCAACCAAGCAGAGGTTTGTTACTGAATTAAAAAAAATCCTTCGACCCTGCCCAGTGTCCTAGCAGCTAAAGTCCTTGCCTTGCATGTGTTGGGATCCCATGTGGGTGCCAGTTTTAATCCCAGCAGGCCCACTTCCCATCCAGCTCCCTGCTTGTGGCCTGGGAAAGCAGTGGAGGATGACCCCAAAGCCTTGGGACCATGCACCTGCGTGGGAGATCCAGAGGAGGCACCTGGCTCCTGGCTTTGGATTGGCTCAGCTCTGGCTGTTACAGTCACTTGGGGAGTGAATCATCCAGTGGAAGATCTTCCTCTCTGTCTCTCCTCCTCTCTGTGTATCTGAGTTTGCAATAAAAATAAATAAATCTTAAAAAGAAAAAAACCAACCTTTATGTTGCCAGTTGAAAACAATCTTGATGTGTGAGGAGTAAGCAGACCCTAACAGAAGGCATTCTATTGTGGACGGGTTTCACAATAGGTCCTGTATTCCATCAGGTGTTTCAGACTTTTAAAAGCATGAAGAGGCTGTTCAAATTCTGCTTGCTGTAGGTAGATTTATTGTTGAATACTTGCTACTGTAGAAAAGTTACTCTAAAAATGTGTAGGAAATGTTGACAGTGTTCAAGAGAAGCAGAATTTCCAAACAGAGCTTTTGACTTAATAGCATTGCTATTAGTTTTTGTCTCTGAGATTGGATTAGCTTTTTTTAAAAAGAAGATTAACACTGAATATAATCTGCTGCTGACCCTCACCTGTTTGGAACTCTGGCAAGTGAATTGATTAAATTGACGAAAAGCAGAGAAGTGGTGACTATGTGTTGGCTTCTCTTCTGTGGTTTTGCTTTTCAGTGTGAAGTACTCGTGGTCAGCTGTGGTCTAAAAATATTAAATCGAAAATTCCAGAAATAAAATACTTCATGCATTTTGCTTATTTACTGTTACATTTATTTATTTGAGAGCTAGCTTTCATCTACTGGTTCACCTTCGAAAGGGCCAAAGCTGGGTGCTGGGAACTCCTTCCAGTCCAGGCCTCCCATTGCTTACTTAGGCCGTCACACATCCTGCTGGGAATCTGCGTTAGCCGGAAGCTCAAGGCGGGAAGCAGAGGCAGAAACTGAATGCCTGAGTTGCTGGGAGGCACAGGTGTCTGCCTGCGGAACATCGGCCCTCCTGGGTCTTAGGTTGTGCATAGCAGTGAGGCTTGTGCTGAGCTCGCTCCTGCGCCAACGTACTTGGAGATCATCCTTTGGCCCAGCATATGTGCACTGCACATGCCACCTGCCTGTTGGTCACTTGGTAACTGGCACAGTCATCAAATGGACTTGTGGTAATGGCAGTGCTGTGTTCGGTTAATCCTTGCTTTAATTAACAGGAGTGGTGTTGCTGAATGTTTGAATATGCTAAAGAGAACCCATGGAGTTCTTATTAAGGGGGGAAAATCCTGTGCAAAGTCGGCTAACACCTACATTGTAGTGAGTGATTTTGAGAAAGAGCATTAACACATGAAGTTTTAATACAATATGTTGTCATAATTTTTAATTGTCATAATTTTTATTACTCTGCCTGATTTATAAATTAAACGTATGTATGAAAAGAAATAGTTGGTGCTATACATGGCTGTAGGCACTTCCTGGGATTTTGGTACACACGTGTCTCCCTTGAATTAGGTGCTACTAATGCTTCATTCCACAGCCACGAGCCAGTG